TGTCTCTGTAGCTCTGTCCTCAAGTATAATAAAATAAATCTTAAAAGGTTATTAGAAAAAAATGAATGCTCTATTAATAAACAGAAATGGGATGAGCATAACTCTTATAAATCACTTTAATTTTACTGAGGTAAAGAAATCATTATGAGGCCCGGCATGGTAGCCTAGTGGTTTAGGTCCTCACCAAGTGTGCCCCCAGATCCCACATGAGTGCCGGTTTGTATCCCGGCTACTCCACTTCCCATCCAGCTCCTTCCTGTGGCCTAGGAGAGCAGTCAAGGATAGCCCAAAGTCTTGGGGCCCTGCGCCTATGTTGGGAGACCTGGAAGAAGCTCCTGGCTCCTGACTTCAGGTTGGCTCAGCTCTGGCCATTATGGTCACTTGGGGAATGAGCCAGCGGACAGGAGATCTTTCTCTCTCTGTGAAATCTGACTTTCCAATTATATATATATTTCAATTCTTTTATTTTGGTAATCTTTATAGAGTTGATTAGGGCACAAATGGTCAAGGGCTACAGGAAAGTGGGTAAGACCATTGTTTCCACATTAACACTATTTTTTTTTTTTTCTGTATCTGGGGTAAGAGGAGAGATAAAGGGAAAAACCCCACACAACCTCCCACCCATCTCAGGTCCCTGACGTGGGGCATGCTCTGAGGGTCCTGCTCATGCAGTTTTGATAGTTCAACAGTTCTGAATTGCTGCCAGTCTCACCATTCCAAGCACGATGAAATCTATTCAGAATCCACTGACTGACACAGCCTTTTCATGGTTGGGGTTCTGAAATCAGCAGTTCAGTTGGAGGGATCCCCCAAAGAAACTTCGTCTGACATGATCCCAGACCTGTTTTTGTGTGTTTTTGTCAATATGGGGTCCAGCACAGTCCATCGCCCCAATCAGTTTATGCCTATGCTGGTCATTGCAATTGCTGGGTCAGTTCTGTTTCCAGCCCTGTCTTCTACGCAAACCAATGGGTGTTGCAGTCCAGCCTGATCCTGCCCACTTCATACTCGGTCCTCACAAACCAGTGGGAGCTGCAGCCTAGTTGGGGCGACTCCATGACTCCAACCATGCCTGTCCCCTACTCTGGTTCCCATGCTTGCCAGTATGTACCGCAGACTTATTCGGTTCTGTCCCACATCCCATTTAGCTCTTGTACATGTCAATGAGCATTGAAGCCTAGTTCAACCCAACCAACCTGCTATCCAGCCCACATACATGCTGGCAGGTGCTGTACTGTCTGGTGTGATGGTTCAGTGACTAAATCCTCACATTATAAGCGCAGGATCCCATATGGGTGCCAAAGATTTTAATTGGAAAGAAGGAGAGTTAGAAAGATCTTCCGTTTTCTGTTTCATGCACCAATCAGCCGCAATGGCCAGAGCTGAAACCTGAAGCCAGGAGCCCGGAGCTTCCTCTGGGTCTCCCACACTGGAGCCAGGTCCCAAGGCTTTGGGTCATTCTCTGTTTTTGCCGAGCACAAGCAGGGAGCTGGATAGGAAGTGGAACAATCAGGATATGAACTGGTGCTTGTGTGGGACCCTGGTACATGCAACATGAGAATTTAGCCAGTAGGTCATTGCACCGGGCTCTATAAATGCATTCTTAAAAGGAAACAAGAAAACTCAGAGGGCATGGCGTGTTAGGCTAGTGACTAAAGACTTCACCTTGCCAGTGCCAGCATCCCAGGTGGGCACCAGTGTGTGTGCTGGCTGCTCTGCTTCTCATCCGGCTCCCTGCTTGTGACATGGCAAAACAATGGAGGACGGCCCGAAGCCTTGGGGCTCTGCGCCCACATGGGAGACCCAGAAGAGGCTCTGGGCTCCTGGCTTTGGATCAGCTCAGTTCTAGCCATCGTGGCTAGTTGAGTAGTGAACCAGCATATGGAAGATCTTTCTCTCCGTCTTCTGTCTGTAAATCTGACTTTCCAATAAAAACAAGTAGATCTGATGTGACTAGGCTGTCGTGTTGCGGCAGGTTAAGCTGCCATTGGCGATGCTGACATCTCACATGCGCATTGGCTTTTGTTCTGATTGCTACACTTCTGATCCAGCTCTGCCAGTCAGCCTGGGAGTGTGTGGAAGGTGCCACAGTGCTTGTGCGCGTGCTGCCTGTGTGGGGACCTGTTTGAACGGCTATTGGTTCCAGCCTGGCCTTGTCCCTGGCTGTTAAAGCCATTTGAGTGGACAGAAGACATCTCTCTATCTCATCCTCTCTAACCCTTTTCAAATAAGTAAATCTTTTTTTTGTTTGTTTTAAGAAAGATAAAGAATTTATTCATTTTTGAGAGCAGCTTTAACCAAGGGAAGGAGAGACAGAGACAGAGAAGGAGGCTTCATCTGCTGGCTCACTCCCCTAATGGTTGCAGTGGGCGGAGTTGAGCTGATCCAAAGCCAGGAGTCAGGAGCCTCCTCTGGGTCTGTTCCAAAGGTCCAGGGTCCCAAGGGCTTGCACCCTTCTTTGGTGTTTTCCTAGTCCACAAGCAGACAGCTGGATTGGAAGTGGAGCAGCCAGGACACACACTGGCACCGATTTGGGATGCTGGTGGCACAGGGTGCAAGACAGGGCTGACTTGTCACCATCAAACAGATCTTAAGGCACCGTGGCCTAGCGGCTAAAGTTCTCGCCTTGAATGCGCCCCAGGATCCCATATGGGCTCCGGTTCTAATCCCAGCAGCTCCACTTCCCATCCAGCTCCCTGCTTGTGGCCTGGGAAAGCAGTAGAGGACGGCCCTAAGCCTTGGGACCCTGCACCTGCGTGGGAGACCTAGAGAAAGCTTCTGGCTCCTGGCTTCGGATTGGCGCAGCACCGGCCATTGTGGCCACTTAGGGACTGAATCATCGGACGAAAGATCTTCCTCTCTGTCTCTCCTCCTTTCTGTATATCTGACTTTGTAATAAAAATAAATAAATCTTAAAAAAAAATCTTAAAGACAGAAAAAAGTCAATATGGGCCTGGTACAGTGGCCCCAGCAGCTAAATCCTCAATTTACATGCACTGGGATCCCATATGGCCACTGGTTCTAATCCCGGCAGCACCACTTCCCATGCAGCTCCCTGTTAGTGGCCTGGGAAAGCAGTTGAGGATGGCCCAAAGCCTTGGGACCCCACACCTGTGTGGGAGATCCAGAGGCAGCACTGGGCTCCTGGCTTCAGGTCGGCTCAGCTCCGGCTGTTGCGGCTGCTTGGGGAGTGAACCATCAGATGGAAGATCTTCCTCTCTGTCTCTCCTCCTCCTTTCTGTAAATCTGCCTTTCCAATAAAAATACTAGCAGTAAAATAGATTTTTTTTAAAATAAATAAATCTTTAAATAAAATCATTGTGCCCAAAGGTGGACTCTAGCAACTCTGTGCTCTGTTCAAATGTTTGAGAATAAAAAAGAAAGAAAATTACAATGCATGTAAGGAATGCGAGTTTACATTTTACATTGAAATAAATGTGTCGGGGCTGGCATTGTGCTGAAGCAAGCTAAGCAGCTGCCTGTGCTGATGGCAGCTCGGTGAGAGCAGTGGTGGACGGTGGGCTGCTCTGCCTCGGGTCCAGCTTGCAGCTCCTGTGCCACGGAACGAAGGCAGGAAAAGATGGCCAAGTGCTCAACCCACGTGGTAGAGCTGGGTGGACTGCAAGTGAACAGGTGGAGGAAGGGTGTGTGTGTGTGTGCGTGTGTGTGTGTGTGTGTGTGTGTGTGTTGGTCTCTTTCTCTGCTGCTTTTTTAAATAATTAAGATATATCTTCTGTAAAGAAAAAAAAAAGATACAGTTGGGGATTTGTATAATTTCTCTGTTTGTTGTAAAGATCTATTCATTTATGTTTGCAAGGCAGCTAGAGAGATTGATGTATGTGCCTTTTCATCAACTGGTTCATTCACCTGAGAGCCACGGCAGGTCTGAGCACAGCTGAAGCCAGGAGCCAGGAACCCCGTGCCCATCTCCCACGGCAGGTCTGAGCACAGCTGAAGCCAGGAGCCAGGAATCCCTTACCCATCTCCCACGGCAGGTCTGAGCACAGCTGAAGCCAGGAGCCAGGAGCCAGGAACCCCGTGCCCATCTCCCACGGCAGGTCTGAGCACAGCTGAAGCCAGGAGCCAGGAATCCCTTACCCATCTCCCACGGCAGGTCTGAGCACAGCTGAAGCCAGGAGCCAGGAGCCAGGAACCCCGTGCCCATCTCCCATGGCAGGTCTGAGCACAGCTGAAGCCAGGAGCCAGGAATCCCGTGCCCATCTCCCACGGCTTGGCAGGGACCCAAACACTGGGGCCATCCATCTTTCTTCTTGTGTGCATTAACAGGGTGCAGGATCAAAAGCGGAGAGCTGGGACGAGAACTCGTGCTCTGCCTCGGGATGCTGCTGTTACAAGTGCTGGCCCGACATGTGGGATCTGTGTAATTTGGAGCGAGGGGATAGGCAGCTTCCGTGACTGCTAAAATAGCATGAGTTTGGTTTCCCATTAGCACACGTGTAGGCATGTAGTTAGAGCAGCACAGTGTGACAGGGAGAGGCCTTGTGCGCGCGGGTCTTGGTGATCTGCTGTGTTTCTCAAAGTTCCTCTCTTTCCCCCCACCCCGCCCCTTCGACCTGGCAGAAACATGTGGAAAGGGAGGACTTCTCTCTCCCTAGATAAGCCCAAATGCTTCTGATTATTTTTTCTTAGTGGTTGCAAAAAGTATCTTCTTAGCCTCCGTAATCTGTTAAAATTATTACTAAGATTTATACTTTTTTTTTTTTCTCTGAGGGAGAAACAGAGAAATCTATCTTTTGTACACTCCGCAGGCGGAAGGCAGGCCCCAGGACTTCGTCAGGGTGTCCCGCCTGGGAGGCAGGAGCCCACGCTGCCTGATGCTCTGAGCAGGCCACCTGCAGGGAGACAGATGGGCAGTGATGCTGCGATGCCGGCCCCGCCTTTGATGATGGACCTGGATATTCTGACAGTTAAAATAGTCCCGTATGATAATGTTCTTTTTCTCTCCTCTTTTCCTTACTAACATTTCCGGTTGGTTTCAGGGGTGGCTTCACAATCTCTGGATCAACAAGTTTCAGTAAAACTTAAATCTGAAATTGAAGAAGAGCTGAAATCCCTGAACAAAGAAATTTCTGAAGGTCTGTTGATTTATTTTCTGTTTCATGTGGTTTACTCTTGCTTTGATTTGATCTCCACAATAGTGTATTCTAAACATTACTCAGTTTGATTTACACAACATTTTTTTATTTTTCTTAATTTTTATTGCAAAGTCAGATACATACATATAGAGGAGGAGAGACAGAGTGGAATATCTTCTGTCCACTGATTCACTCTCAAGAGACCACAATGGCCAGAGCTGTGCCGATCCGAAGCCAGGAGCCAGGAGCTCTTCTGGGTCTCCCACGCAGGTGCAGGTCATAAGGCTTTGGGCCGTCCTCGACTGCTGTAAAAATCCATGAGTATGAAAGATTATCGAAAAGTTTGTGGAAAACAGATTCTGAAGGAATTATAAAGGTTTCTAAACTTTTTTGGGCCACAGTAAACTTATCTTTCAATTCTACTTTCCTATTACTCTTCTGAAGTATGTGTTATTTCACATGTGGCACAATTGAACCATGTAAAAGATGCACTTCAATAGTTTTTAAAATATAGCCACAGAATTTTACCACTATCATCAGTCTAAATATAGAGCTTTTTCAATCAGCCGGGAACCACCACCGTGCATGTATTAGGAATTTCCCAATCCTATTCCTTCTGACTTCCAACCCCACCAAGACAGCCACTGATCTATGTTCTGTTTCTATGGATTTATTTTTTCCAAATAGTTTAAAGAATGGCACCATGTATTGTGTAACCTTCTGTGATTCCCTTTATTTGGTTTCATGTTTTCAGACAGTGTGGCCAAGGACCACGCGAGGTGTAGCATTTCTCAGTGCCTCATAGCTTTCTACGGCCGAATAATCCATCACTTGGATAATTCCTTATTTTGTTTATTCTGCATTTTGGTTGGTATTTGCATTGTTGCTTTAAACATTCTTGTACAGATTTTTGCCTAATAATTTTATTTAGAAGCCGAACAGCTTTATTTATTTATTTGAGAAGCATAAAGACAGAGACAAATAGAGAAGGCTGGACCAGGTCAGAGGTGGCACCAAGACACCAAATGGTAGGTGGCAGCAACCCAGTGTCCTGAGCCATCAGCATTGCCTCCCAGCTGTGTGTCAGGAGGAAGAAGTGTTAGGAGCTAGAACCAGATATTGAACCCAGAGTATTTCAGTGTGAAACACAAGCGTTTCTCTCTCTTTTCCCAAGATTTTTATTTTTAGTGTTTATTGGAAAATTTACGGAGAGGAAGACAGAGGAAGATCTTCCTTCCGTTGGTTTGCTCCCCAAGCAGCCACAACGGCTGGAGCTGAGGCAGTCCGAAACCAGGAGCCAGGACTTTTTTACAGGTGCAGGGTCCCAAGACTTTGGGCCGTCCTCGACCTCTTTCCCAGGCCACAAGCAGGGAGCTGGATGGGAAGTGGGGTGGCCAGGACACGAAGGTCTCACGTGGGATCCCGGTAGGAGCAAAATGAGGATTTTTGCCACTCAGCCATCATGCTAGGCTCTCTCCCACCCCACTCCCCCTTTAATTTTTTGATTGGTTTATTTATTTGAAAGAATTCAAGAGAGGGAAGGGCACACACAGAGAGAAGGAGAAACACCTTTTGGCCAGCAGTTCCCTCCCCAGATCACCCGGCAGAAGCCAGGGGTGAGCCTGGTGGGAGCCACGAGTTTTCATCTGAGTCTCCCGTATGGGTGGCAGCGGTCCGTAACTCTTGGCTTTCTTCTGCTGCTTTTCCCAGTTCATTAAGAAGGGGGTGACTCAGAAGTGGAGCCACCAGGACATGAGTTGGTGCCTTCCTGGGATGCCGGCTTTACATGCAGTCACTTTACCCGTTGTGCTGTGATGCTGGGCCCTATAGAGGCATCTTTAGCCAGCATGCTGAATTCTTCATCAGAAATATGGCTCTGTTCGTCATGGTTATAAATCAGTTTCGTATTGAAAAAGAATGCGAGTAGAAATATGTAAACCAGAAATCAAATGTGATTTTTCTCTTTTATATCCCTTAGAATTCTAGTTCTCTTGTATGCCGTGGTCCAAGTTTTGATAAAAGTGCTGCTGTATAAGAAACGAGCAGAAGGAGGTTGGTGTTGTGATGCGGTAGATGGAGCTGCAGCTTGCAATGCTGGTGCCCCCTGCCTGTGGGGCTGGGAAGGCAGCAGTGCATGCCCAGGTCCTTGGCCCTTGCTACTCCTGGGAGACTCAGATGGAAGCCCCTGGCCTTGGCCTGCGTCAGCCTAGGTGTTGGCATTCATCTGAGCAGTGAACCAGGAGAGATATTTATCTCTCTGATGACTCCACCCTTGGTGCTGGCATTGAGTTTGGGCACCGGTTCAAGACCCAGCCACTCCACTTCCAATCCAAATGCCCTCTAATAGCCTGGGAAGGCAGTCAAGGACGGCCCAAGTCCTTGAGCCCCTGTACCCATGTGAGAGACCCGAAAGAAGATGCTCGCTGCAGCTTTGGAGCAGCCGTGCTCTGAACATTGCTGCCATTTGGAGAGTGAACCAGTGGATGGAAGATCTGTCTCCCTTTCGGTAATTCTGTGTTTCAAGTAAAAGATAAATAAATGTTTTTAAACTGTCAGCAATTGCCTGACATGGTACCCTAGCGGCTAAAGTCCTTGCCTTGCATGCACCAGGATCCCATATGGGCACCAGTTCATGTCCTGATTGCACCACTTCCCTTCCAGCTCTCTGCTTGTGGGCTGGGAGAGGCTCTGCACCCACGTGGGAGACCCAGAAAAGCTCCTGGGTCCTGGCTTTGGATTAGCTCAGCTCCAACTATTGCAGTCACTTGTGGAGTGAACCAGCAGATGGAAGATCTTTGTCTCAACAAAAGCCTTTAAATGTACTCATTTATTGAACACCATATAATCCCAGGCTGATCGTTAAAATGGGTGCTCTTGAGTTGGGTCAAACAACAAAATATTTATCAACTTTATAATCATTTGCATACTTCTTGGGGAGAGACACTTCATCAAAAAATGTTAACTAAAATTTATAATATTCTAGGAATATGCCAAAGATTAATGCAATTGCATTTTTAAAAGATTTTTGTTTTTATTTGAAAGACAGAGTTACAGAGAAGGTGGGACAGAGAGAGAGAGAGAACTTGCATTTGTTAATTCACTCCTCAAGTGGCTGAAGCTGGGCTGATCTGAAGCCAGGAGCCAGGAGCTTCCTGCTGGTCTCCCACATGGATACAAGGCCCAAGGACTTGGGCCACCCTTTGCTGCTTCCCAGGCCATCGTCAGGGAACTGGATTGTAATTGGAGCTACCAGGAGTTGAACCAATGCTGATACGGATGCTGACACTATTAGAGAGTCAACTTTGTATACTGTGGTGCCTGCTCCTACAGTTGATATTTTATGAAGTTAATGAGTTGGTAACTTTTGGGGCGTGGATGCAAGCTGCTTACTCTGACGGGATTCTGTGTCCAGCATCCAGTTTGTTTCTTGATCATGATTTTTACTGGGCGGATATTCTGGTGCAGGAGGTTTAACTACCACTGGGAGAGACACCGCTGCCCGTTTCGGAGCACTGGTTTGTGCCTCTGCTGCTCTGTTTCCAGCTTCTTGCTGCTTACACAGTGGGGAAGGAAGCAGGAGATAGCCCGCACATTTAGGCCCTGATGATGTACGGGAGACCAGGAGGAAGCTCTTCTGTCCAGGTTTCAGGCTGGATCAGCCCTGACTTTTGGTGGCCCTTTGTGGGGGAAATGGCCAATAGAAAACATCTCTGTTCCTTCCTTTCTTTATTATTGTGCCTTTCAGAGAAATAAATGACACCTTATAAAGAATAAAAAACAATAATTATTCTACCATCTAATGAGCAAATGGCTAAGTCTTTATAACATGGAGTTAGATAATGGTTGAAAAGCCAGGATTGGAAGAGAAATAATTTATGAGTGCTTATTCCATGTTCCAGTCTTATATAATCTTTATAGTTTAAAAATTTATCTATATGCAGGAATAATTGAAAGGAAAGTAAAGCTATGGACTCATACTCTGGGGTGGGATCAAATAATCAGAATATGATTTAAGGGCCTGGCGCCATGGCCTACAGGCTAAAGTCTTTGAGTTGAATGCACCGGGATCCCATATGGGCACCAGTTCTAATCCCGGCAGTCCCGCTTCCCATCCAGCTCCCTGCTTGTGGCCTGGGAAAGCAGTCGAGGACGGCCCAAAGCCTTGGGACCCTGCATCCATGTGGGAGGTCTGGAAGAAGCTCCTGGCTCCTGGCTTCGGATCAACTCAGCTCCAGGCATTGCTGCCGCTTGGGGAGTGAGCCATCGGATGGAAGATCTTCCTCTCTGTCTCTGCTCCTCTCTGTATATCTGCCTTTCCAATAAAAATAAAATTAATCTTTTTGTTGTTGTTTAAAGAATGTGATTTAAGAAGTACCGTATTAGTAAAAGTGATGGATGGTTTAGTCAGGAGTTGCTTACTTATCATTCTCTTTTTCAAAAGACTGCTTATTTTAAAACATGTTTTCTGAGGTTTATTTTACTTGGAAGGAGGAGTTAGAGACAGATATCTTCTATCCGCTACTTCACTCCTCAGATGGCTATGACTAGTAATGCTGGACCATGTCAAAGCCAAGAGACCGAAACTCCATCTGGATCCCCCGTGTGGGCGGCAGGATCCCCTGCCTCCCCGGGCTCTCTAGCAGGGCGCTGGATTGGAAGTGGAGCAGTTAGGAGGGACACTTGTATGGGATGCTCCCACTGCAGGTAGAAGCTTAACCACTTGCTCTACAACTCTTGTTCCTGAAACTTTTTTAAGCCAATCATTCTTGTTTATTTGAAGGGCACAGAGAGGGAGAGAGAGAGATCGCTTCCAGGTGCTGGTTCACCCGCAAATGCTGCTAACAGGTAGAGCTAGATGAGTCTGGAGACAGGAGCCAGGAAGCATGTGAGTCTCCTAAGTGGCTGAGCTGTCACCTGTCGCCTCCCAGGCCTGTTGGCAGGGAGCAGATCAGAAGCAGAGCCAGCAGCTGAATCGTGCCTCCCTCGTGGCAGCTGAAGCTCTGGACCATATGCTCATCTCTCGTTTATCATTCCTTTTCAAAGCTGTATTGGTTTTTAATTTTATTTTAATATGTATTACAAAGGGTGGGGAATTGCAGACCCACGTGGGCCTCCAATTAGGATGGAGAGATTGGAGTGAGGGGGAAGGTGAGTGTGTTAAATATTTCAGTTTCCTTCCTGTGTCCTTGGAAGCGCATGCTCCCTGCTGCCAGTCTACATCAGCTCCCAGGAGGCGACAGTTGTTTGATGTTGCCGTGGAGACCCCACTGAGGGGAAGAATGTTCTGAGGGTCTTATTTGGGTGGTGTTGGTTGTTCCGAGAAGTGGTTGGCTTCATTGTACCAGAGAAATTCACTCTTAAGTCCTCTTGGCTTTCTGTGTCTGCTCAGTGCTCCACAGACCTCGGTACCTGCCCTGGAGCCTGTAGCTGTTCTGTTAGCTTGCTCATTAGCAGGAAGCTGAATCAAGTGGAGGAGTTGGGACTTGAACTCGGCACTCCAATATGGAATTTTCAGTATTCCAAGCAACACCTGCTCTCAATACTCATTTGAGAACAAATCCTTTTTGAAAAACTAAAAGATTTATTTGAAGGCTAAGATTTTTTTTTCCCCATTAAGACTTCAGCTTTTTTTTTTTAAGTCTGAGTTTATGACTTGAAAGTTTTTACAGGAAACATAGTCTGTAGTAATTGCATGGCCCTTTTCAGGAACATGCACGTGTCAGCCCGCGGTACAGCCTAAAACACTGCTCACTGATGATCTGCTTTGCCTTGTGTTCAGCCTCCAGCAGCACTGGCTTTGACCGTCACACTTCTCCAGTGTTTAGCCCTGCTAACCCGGAAAGCTCCATCGAAGACTGCCTGGCCCATCTGGGAGACAGAGTGTCTCGGGAACTGAAGGCACCCCTGCAAACAGCCCTGCAGCTGCTCCTCAGCCAGTGAGTCCCCAGGGCCCGGTGCCCTGTGCATCTCTCGCAGCACTGGTTGGTTAAGCCTTTGTTTAGGTCGAGAGCGTCATTACTTTTCACACTTTGCCTTCCTTTTTCCTTTCCTGCTTTCTCAAAGCGTCTGTCTCTATTTTGAGTGAATCTTTGCATCAGAGCAATGATGTGCCTGTCTTATCACAGGCTTGATCATTTCTGGTTGTTTGTTGAGCTGTCAGCTGTGAATTTATGCTACTTCACTTGACCCGAGCACTTCTGAGCAGCGTTTTCTGTAGCCAACATAGGTAGTGGCTGGAGTTGCGCGCTGTCATATGTCATCAACATTGTGTAGTTTAGATACCCAGGCTTGCCGTTATATCTGCATCCCAGATGTTGCTAAGCTCTGGGGTTGCATATCTGTCCCTGGAACTTGTACATTAACAATGGGACCTTTTTTCCTGACCTTGGTGCTGACCATTGCCAAAGCTAAATGCAAGAAGCTAGTGATAAAATATATTACAATGGGATTAAATCACTTATTGTAAATCTTTAAAAATTAGTCTTTCCTAATTGTTTGCAATAGAATTGGTGTGAATTACAAAAATCTGAGGGGATCTCAGAAAGTTCATGGAAACAGAATCAAGTGGTAAGTTTGTTTTGGTGTTGAAATTTTTTATGAATCCACTCAGGTTTTTTTTTTTTAGATTTCTTTTCCAAAGCAGACCATGGCAGTTCTCACACAGTCTCCATCCACTTATAAGTTCACCATTGGCCTTTTTTTGTTTGTTTTTTACACAATGTGCATCTTTCATGAACTTTTTGAAGGCCTCTTACATTATTGAAGATTGACAGCTCCATAAAACAGGGCAAAATGTTCCTTGCTGAAAAGGCTGGACCTCACGAGTCAGATTACTCGTGTGGTCATTCCTGTCGCCCTCGCAGGTGGACAGGGTTTATCCTTGACCGCTTGTTACAAGGAAGCAGTTTGGGTTTTCGAGGAATTCACTTTATTTCTGGGTTTCCTGACAAAATGAGCAAATAGGAAAGTCTAGTCAAGTAGAGAATGAGGTTAAATCATACTTGGGTTTTTCTTATTTTTAGATGCAGAAAGGTGTAAAAATCAATGTCGTGTCAGAAAAGCAGGGATTCAGATTGAGAGCAGTGGTTTTGGAAGAGTGTCCCTGGGAACCGTGGGCCCTGCAAGGCTGTGAGCCGTCGGGGAGCGGGGGAAGGACGGGGCCCCTGGGCTCAGGGTGCCTTTCCAACCCTCTTAAGCCAGAACACTTACATCTTCCGTGGTTTTGGCGTATCGAGGTTATTTGTCAAAAGACACTAGCTTTTTAAAAAAAGACATGGGCTACTTTGGTTTTAGAAAAAGAAGAAAACCAAAAAGTTGTAAGAGTATTGGCCCTGGGAATATAATAACAGATATAAGCAAAAGATACTGTTTCCAACTTTGATATAAATGATTGTGGCTCTCAGTAAACCTTCACCGCGTTGAATAAGACATTTTGCTCTTTGATCTGCTGGTTCTCTGACTTCTCTATTACATTGGCTTTTGGTGCTGTGTGTTTTAGTTACCGCAATCCCCCTCTCCTTGCACTGTGTTATACCCCCACTGGGTCGATCATTCAGCTTAGTCTCTGCGTAGTATTTCCCCTTTCAGTGTTTTAATTTGCACCTTTCACGTGTTCATGTGCATGTTCCATTCTGAAGGATACTAAAGCATTTAGCTTGCTAGACACCGGTAGGACCTGCTTGTGATGCCCAGCAGCAGCAGGGAATTCAGGGAAGGCAATGGAAGGACTGATCCGTGCAGGTGCAGTTTCAGGAAGAATATAGGTGTGTAAACTCTCCAGGATCTGCTGAAGTGTAAGGCTTACAGGAAACTGGAGCCTAGCCTAAGGCTGCCAAAAACTAGTCAGGCTGCTTTAATGAGGATGTGATGTCATCTTCTTTTTCAGTGTGACTGTACTAGGAATTCGATATTGAGTTCTTAGTGGAAGAATGATATGTCACCAGAACTTTTTCTCTGAAATATCTAGCTCAGTGGGGCCCTATAGATAAAACCCAAGTTGTATGTATGGAATTTAAAATTTTCTGCCAGCCACATTAGAAAAAAATGGAGTTCATTTTTAAGTTTTTAGGAATGTATTTTTAGCCTGGTATATTCAAAGTATCATTTCAACATCCACTCCATATAAAAAAAAAAAAACTAATGAAATATTTTCCATTCTTTCTTATTATTTGAAATCTAGTGTGTATTTCTCATCCCTTCAGTTCCACACCAGCCACCTTTCCAATGCTCGTTAGCCACATGTGACTCCTGCACAGTGCTCTGTGGCATGTGTCGGAGTTGTCACTTGAGACAGGAGTAGCGTGGCCTTTGGAGCTGGCTCTAATTGTGTAGGGAGCCCCACTTTGCTGCTTGCCTGCCGTGTGATTTTACAGCGGTCTCTTAATTTTTCAGATTTATTTTCAAGTATATGTTACAATCATATATAATAAAAATATAAATTATTAAACACGTAAACCCTGCACAGTAAACTAATGACCGGTGTAGCCATGGTTAGTCTAAATTGTTCACAGGCCAAAGAGTTCACACCTCAGAGTGGTCAAGCAGAAAATGCCTCGAAAGAGGATTTAGAAATTTTATGAACTTCTCCCCTCATTTTTATATTTCTTTTATTATTTAATCCCAAAAAGGCCAGAAGGAAGGGGAAATTTTTAGTAAAACGGGCATCCGTGCTGTGCATGCCTTCATAGGTACTTGATACCGTATTTTTGTGTTTCAGCTTACATGTGAAACTAATTCTTAAGGTACAGAATTTAAAGTGTTTTGACAGATTAGTGAGTGTTGTCATCACTCAAGGGTGTGAGTTTTGGGTGTGATTACACAAATAATCAGAAATACTTCCATCCCTACCCTCCAGAATTTGATATCATAATACATTAAAGACAGGACTGCAATGATTGGGCTGACTTATTCCAGCTCCTTGTATTCTCAGTTTGAAAAGTCTTCAGTGACATGTCTCTAGTTTTTATATATTTTCGACTTTCTGTCTTTAAAAAATACATGGGTCAGTAAAATTATGCTTTCAGTTTCATTGTTATTTGTCAATGTTTGATCTCATATATCTTATATCATTAAGTTAAATATGTATCCGTAGCATAGAAATTCTACCAGATAAATTCCAGGCAGTAACAGGACATTTCTGAGAATATGTGTTTATTTGGCTGTGTGATTAACCACATTCTCAAACATGCACCTCAGCCTAAATATTAAAAACATACAACCTATAGGAAGCTTACAAAATGCAGAGCAACTGTTAAAAAAGCTGCATCTCAAACAAAGCAATGCGCTGACTAATCCTGTCACTTTAACAAAGTTCGGTGGGAGAGCAGTGACTGTATATTTGTTCATCTGGAAATTTAGTTTTTCTTTTTCTTTTAAAAAAATCTCTACAGGCCAGTGACATACCAGGCATATCGTGAGTGTGCACTGCAGACTGCCAGCCATGCCAGCGGATGGAGTAAGGTATTCTCCCCATTGTCTCTCCTGGTGTGAGATTCTTCTGGGTGTTGGTAATAAAGGGCAGCGGGAATTGATGACGTCATTCAACAGAAGTCTGTTGTAAGCCATTCATCCGTTTTCAGTTCAGTTGTGCTAAGAGGGCAGTTTTGGTTGAACCTGTTTTTGTTTTGAATAAACACTGCCAGGTTCTACTCAGAAGTGTGTGCCGCTTGGTGTGTGAGCTTGTTGCCTCTGCCCTGAATTTCCTATCATTCATTTCTGTGCAGCTTTGACGTGGCGTTTATCTTCAGTTAATATTGATGAACACGTAGGTATGTGTCAGGAGGGTGCGGGGTGAAAGAGAGTCTCCTGTGGTTTTCTGAAGTGAGCAGTGGCGTTTGTATTTCCCGTTTTGCCGACTCTCATGTCATATCTCGTTTGATCATTGCAGAGGGCATGATGGATTTTCTTTTGTTAGGTCAGATGACTAACGTGAAATGATTGTCCCTTGACCAGTGCGTATTGGGACCAAAACTAGAAGTAAGCTCCTTAGACTCTTGCCTCAATGTTGTTTTCTCCCCTGCTGTTCTGGACTGTTCATCACCTTAGAGATAGGCTGAGGAGGAGGTTGTAACGATGGCTCAACACAATAAGAGGAGGGGAAAAAAGCTCATAGATGCTCTAGTGCTAGGGGTCTGGAAATTCAGTACGGTTATTTTAACAAACAATCCCTCAACTTAGAATCATCCATACAGTCTTCCCTTGCTGTCTACAGGGATCTGGTTCCAGGACTTCCCAGAGAAGCAAAATTTAGGGGTGCTTAGATCCCTTATAAAATGGCATAGTATGGATCTGGCACAGTAGCTCAGCGGCTAAAGTCCTCGCCTTTTGTGCGCCAGGATCCCATATGGGCGCCTGTTCTAATCCCGGCAGCCCCGCTTCCCATCCAGCTCCCTGCTTGTGGCCTGGGAAAGCAGTCGAGGACGGCCCAAAGCCTTGGGACCCTACACCTGTGTGGGAGACCCGGAAGAGGCTCCTGGCTTTGGATCCTGGCTTCGGATCAGTTCAGCTCAGGCCATTACAATCACTTGGGAAATGAATCATTGGATGCAAGATCTTCTCTCTGTTTCTTCTCTTTGTATATCTGCCTTTCCAATAAAAATAAATAAATCTTAAAAAAATGGCATAGTATTTGCACATAACCAAATACTCATTCCTTCCTTATATTTTCTTTTTTAAAATTAATCAATTAATTAATTAATTAATTTTTCGCATTTAATTATTATTGCTATCATTTTACGATACAGTTCCATATTCCCTTGTCCCCTCCCCAATTCCCCCCCCCCCGTTCCTTTATATCATTACTAACATATAGTTCTTCATACTCAGTCATATGTTCATCATTGCGGGCATGGACAATGGCAGAGAGTCCAGAATCCTATTGTCAAAATGTAATATAAACAGTTTCACTGTAAGTCCATCTTTGTCTGGAAACAGAGATGCTGACCACACTGCATCCTCACATCTGGTTGTTAGTCTCCATTACATAACTACTGTACATTCCCTTAAATGAAAAGTCATGCTACAAAATCAACAATAGAAAGAAAAATAGAAATTTACAATGCCATGAAGTTAAATGACATGTTGCTAGATATGACAGTCTCCATTACACAGCTACTATACCTTCCCTTAAATGAGGAGCCATCCTTCCTTATATTTTCAATCATATATAGATTACTTGTAATACCTAATGCCGGATCCAGCGTGTGGTACAGTAGATTAAACTGTCACTTTGGGTTTGAGTCCCAGCTGCCCCATTTCTGGTTGAGCTTCCTGTTGATTCGCTTGGAGAGGCAGCAGGGAGTGGCCCAAGCAGTTGGGCCCTTGCCACGTTCTTGGCTATTGGCTTTGGCCTGTTACAGACCTGGCTTGTGCAGTGTTGGGGGGGAGCATTGGGGAGGGGGAATTTGAACCTATTAGATGCACAATCTGTCTCTGTGTTTTTTGGTTGTTCTTCCTTTCAAATAAATAAATAAATAAATCTTGAAAATGCAACATAAGTGATCCGTAAATACTTACTGTATCATTTAGGATAATGAGACTATGATCTGCACGCATTCACTGCAGATAAGTTGTTCGCTTCCCAGATGTTTTAAATACGTGGTTGGAAGTGGAGCCCTGGGACACGGACTACAGTGGGTCACTCCACAGAATCTAGTTTGTGCCTAATTGATATGCATCAGGTATATAACCAAGATTACTTCAGTTGCAGCTTTTTGTAATTTTTTTTTAAAAAAGATTTATTTTTAAATTATTATTGGAAAGTCAGATTTCCAGAGAGAAGAGAGCCAGAGAGCTCTTCCACCCACTGGTTCACTCCCCAAGCGGCAGTGGCCAGAGCTTAGAGCTTGGAGCCTGGAGCTTCTTCCGGGTCTCCCAGGCAGACACAAGATCCCAAAGCCTTGCCCATCCTCAGCTGTTTTCCCAGGCCATAAGCAGGGAGCTGGATGGGAAGTGGAGCTGCTGGGATTAGAACCAGCGCCCATATGGGATCCTGGTGCATTCAAGGTGAGGACTTTAGCCGCTAGGCCACCGTGCTGGGTATTAACCAGATGTGAAATATTAAGAGTATAAAATGAAATTGTTAGCCTCTGGTTACTGTTTCAAGAAAGAAGCAGTTATGGAAAAGATCCAGAGAAACAGCAGCAGCCTTACAAAGCCATACAGATCTACTGGAAAGCAGGTTCCAGCCTGAAAAGGACAACAGGAGCTTATGAAGGTTGCAGGTTCACCGCGGATTATAACGTAGGAAAATCGGCACAAATAAAGAGAGGTGTTACCCAGTGTCTTCCCGAGAGGTAACGGAGCCTGCACACGGCCAACTCTGCAGGAAGTTAGACTGTTCTGAAAAGCGGAGCGTCTATGACATGACTTGACGCGGCTGCGTAACACGCATCTCCACCCACTCCTGCATCGAGCAGAATGTCGGGGTTGCTGGAACACTTGTTCCATTTTTAATAGCATGATAGGTTCTCTTATTTATGAAAAAACCCTTTTGTTTTTTTTAGTAGTCCTGTGTCCCTCTGTTAGTATTAAGGGATTCTTTTTCTTTTTTTAAAGATTTATTTATTTTTATTGGAAAGGCAGATATCCAGAGAGGAGGAGAGACAGAGAGGAAGAGCTTCCATCCGATGATTCACTCCCCAAGCAGCCACAACAACTGGAGCCAGGAGCCTCTTCCGAGTCTCCCACACGGCTGCAGGGTCCCAAGGCTTTGGGCCGTCCTCCACTGCTTTCCCAGGCCACAGGCAGGGAGCTGGATGGGAAGCAGGGCGGCCGAGATTAGAACTGGTGCTCTTATGGGATTCTGCTGCATTCAAGGTGAGGACTTTAGCCACTAGACCATCGCACAGGGCCCAAGAAGGGACTCTTAACGTATTATCGGCTGGAGTTATTTTAGAATGCTCATAAATGGAGATAAATGTTTATTTTGTTCTTTCCTTTGTTGTTGCATGTGGTTGCCTTGGGGCTGCTTTTAGGTAAAGCCGAAGGATATTAGTCTGAATACAAACTGCTTATTTTTGTCCTCTGCTGAAGTATTTCATTTCTCAGTTATTTCCTTAGTAATTTAGTAACAATAAACTGGAATTGGTTTCATTTCCTTTTGCATTCCTTTTCTAGTCTTGTGGAATTCTCTCGAAGCGAAAGATTAAAGACTTTGCATGCAGAGGAGCTGGAACACTTAGTTTATTTCAGTATGCCATTTTATTTAGAAGACTCTAGTTAGTTTTTGTTGTGCATTTTGATGGGTTTTAAATGTTGAGCAACAGGTGCAGATTGAAAGCCTCTGTTATATTCCATTTTTGGTCATTTTTAGAAGTTCTTTTCAGATATATAATAAAAGCACATGATACAGAATGCAGGAACATACGGAGAGACACACCTTGACCTTGAAAATGGAAGTGATCTGTTACCCATGTTGCCAGTCATCTGGTTCCTCTCTCAGGCAAATGCTGTTACCACTTATCTCTGGAGAAACACCTCTGAGCGCTTACATCTTGATTTATCTGTTTTTACCTAAAGGCTGCATGTCATTTATGTTCTCCAGTAGCTTGCTCTTTTCATTAAAGTAAGTCTTGATGATTGAGTAGTTAACAGCGTAAATTTTTTGATCACCTTTGTATTTTCCTGGATGCCCAGAATTTTGGTTGGGTTGATGTTAGAAATAACGCCTCAATGGATTTCCTTATCTGAAAGTTGCTCACACACCCTCAGGTTATTTTCATATAGCTATTTCTACGACTCTGTTGTCTAAAATGTACACGCAGTAGTCAGAAAAATCCCATTGCCATTAGGATTTTGTGTTTTACTTCTTTATTATAATTAAAATGATGAGGTAATGATACAGCTGAATAGAACTTCTTCAGTACTTGAACATAAAATACATAAGATTTTTAGTGTGTGTGCTTTTTTTTTTTTTTTTTCTTCTCTTCCCTTTGTGCTGAAGATTTTGGTGCCTCTGGTTTTGCTGCAAGAACTGCTTCTGGAACTGACCAGACGAGGCCAGGAGCCCCTGAGTGAGCTGGTGCAGTTTGGCGTGACATACCTGGAGGAGGATGCCGCAGAGTACATCATTCAGCAAGGTGGCTGGGTATGAACAATCTTCCCCTTAAAAATGAAGTTCTTTGTTTATATTACTATTGGATGAGAATTAATGAAAAGGCTGTTTAAGTTGTTAAGTATTAAGTTCCATGAGTTACAAGATTTTGCTTATAGAGATTGTTATGTGGCACTTTTAAATATTACGGACCATTCCCTGTTAAATACATAAGCAATAAGTGCGTCTGTCGCAGTCCAAGAAAAGGACACAGCAAACACTCGAATCTCCATATATTCTGCTTCTGTATTTTGTCATGCTTCTGTCCACCTCGTAAGTGTAACTCCTGTTATGTACCATCTTTATCTTACTTCTACAACATTTGCATATATCACTAGATAATATATCATTTTCTGTAACTTGCTTGTTTCAGTGCTATTGTTGAAATTAGAAGAATTTTTGAGAGAGGAAAACCTAGATAGCTCCTCGAACGAAAGTCCAGACCCAGTCCAGTCTGGGTCCCCCATGTGGGTACAGGAATCCAATTTCTATCTTTCTTTTAAAAATTATCTGTATTTTTTGAAAGGCAGAGTTAGAGAGACCAAGAGAGGTCTTTTATCCACTAGTTCATTCCCCAAATGTCCACAGTAGTCCGGGCTGGGCCAGACCAAAACCAGGAGCCAGGAGCCTCCTCTGGGTCTCCCCTGTGGACAGTAGGGACCCAAGGACCTGGGCATCTTCTGCTGTCTCCCTGGGCACGTCCACAGGGAGATGGGCTGGAAGCTGATTGGCTGGGACTGAGTCGCCAGCACTTTAGGAAGTGACTAAACCCACTACACTCTAATGCCAGCCCGAAGATTCTAGTTTTCTGAGACGTTGCCGCTACCTTCCAGGGTATGTGTTAGTATGAAGCTGGAATCAGGAGCTGGAGCCAAGCTTGAATGCAGTCACATATCCTGAACTGCCTCTCACCTCCCTGAACCACCCTTTATAACATCCCCACTGAGAATGTGTGTGTGGTATTCCATTATGTGAATATGCGCAGCTTGTTGGGATGGCTCCGCTAGCTTACCAGTGGCCACTTCCACCTTTGTGTTGTATAGTACAGCATTGCTTTTGTAAACATTACACATTTGTGCCAGAGTTCCTGGATGTATACTTGGGAGTAGAATTGCTGGGTCATAGGGTTTAGGTGTGTTTTAATTTCCAAAATAATGAGTTTTCCAAAGTGTTTTTTCAGTTTATATTTGTTAACTACATGAGTTTTTGTCAGTCTGTGTCGTCTCCACCTTCTGTTGTTAATATTGTCAGATGAGCTTTTAAAATCATTTGCTAAAAATAAGGTTTTTTAAAAAAGTTTATTTTGAAATAGCTAGATTTACAAAGAGGTTGCAAAGATAAAACAAGAGTTCCCAAATACTTGTTACTCAGTCTCCCATAGTGTCAGCATCTTACATAACTATGACACCTTAAAAAAATTTTTTTTAAGATTTATTTTGTGTATTTCAAAAGCAGAGTTACAGAGTAAAGGGGAGAAATGGAGATCTTCCACCTGCTGGTTCCCTTCCCAGAAGACCTGAATGGCCAGGGCTGGGCCAGGCTGAAGCTAGGAGCCAGGAGCTTCATCTGTGGTTTGGCCCAAGCCCAGCCAGTGTGGATATTTGGGGAATGAACCAGTAGATGGATGATCCCTCTCCCCGTAATTCTGACCTCAAAATAAATAAATCTTAAAGTATTTTATGATAGAGTTTAGAGCATGTCTCAAGCTACCTTTGCATTTTGTTTTTAAAGATTTCTGTATTTATTCGGAAGTCGGAAGTCGGAATTAGAGAGGGGCGGGGGACGGGGGGGAGAGACAGAGATCGGCTCATTTGCTCCCCAAATGGCCACACAGTCCGTGCTGGACCAGGTACAGACCGGGAGCCAGGAACTTAGCAATCCCGAGTCTCCCGATAGGTGGCAGGGGCCTGAGCAGTGGGCCAGCCTCTACCGCTTTTCCTAAACCATTAGCAGAAACTGGGTCAGAAGAGAAGCATCCAGCGTATGAACTGGCTCCCATGTGTCACAATGGGCTCACTTTACTCACTGCATCACAGTACTAGGAAGTCTAGTCGTTGCACGATTTATAGCTTAGTTTGTCCTTACCTAAAGGCACAGATGCACGCTTCTGTGTCTGCATTTGTCTGAACCCTATCTTTTGTCTCCTGGGACCATGTGGTCGATGCCCAAGACAAGAGATAAGTCATTAATTTCTGCGACTTTGGAATAGGGCAGGTCTTCCATGTTCTTACTACTACTTCTTTCTTCCATTTAAAAACTAGAGCAGAACAGCATGTTCTTTTTGGTAGAATATGGTGTACACGAGTGACTTTTAGCCTCTCTGTATCTCGGGAGTTACATTAGCATCACTTTGCTGTAGATTTAATGTGGATACATACATAAAATTACCAAGTTTACATGTATGGTAAGTGCTTACTGAATGGAATGCTGAGCATTTGTGTTAGGAAAATAGAATTTTTAAAAAGATTTATTTATTTTATATAATGGGCAAATTTATAGAGAGAAGCAGAGATAGAAGGAAAGATCATCCATGGCTGGTTCACTTCCCAGATGGCCACAAAGCCCAGAGCTGAGCCAGTCCAAAGCCAAGAGCCAGGAGCTTCTTCCAGGTCTCTCACACGGGTGCAGGGTCCCGAGGCTTTGGGCCATTCTCCACTACTTTCCCAAGTCATAAACAAGGGGGCTGGATGGGAAGTGGAGCAGCCGGGACATGAACTGGCACCCACGTGGGAACCCAGCATTTGTAAGGTGGAGGGTTAGCTAATTAAGCCATTGTGCTGGGCCCAAAAATGGAAATTTTTTTAAGTAAAAATTGTTTATGTATGGTGTGTTAACCTAATAAAACAGAGGTAAAGAACTGTATCTTGACCCAGTAGAATGTAGAAGTAGTTCTGAGTGCGATGTCTTTCCCGAAGCCCACTGGCTGACTGGCCTGACTGGCCTGACTTTGTAGGTCGTGCATGTCTCAGGATGCCTCTGTGTGAGCCCACGCCGCTGAGTGATGGGCGCTGCTGCTCTCGCCTCCCCACCTCAGCCATTTGTCCTCTCTCAGTGTGGTGTTCGTGCGAGAGCCAGGGCACACCGCAAGTTAATTGCAGTGTAACCGATATAATACTTGATGGCAAAGGTAGGAAAGTACAGAGGATATTAGTTTTATTATGCTGTACGTTAACATCGGCTTATGATTATAGTTTGTTAGAGAATTTTTTATCCAACACAAATTTCTGTACAAGAGTTACCACATGAATAAATTCATTAATTTTTCAAATGCAATTTTGTCTCTGCGTATTTCACACTTTTGTGATTAAAACCAAGATGCTTGTTTTGTTGCTAATTGGTTGGAGTCCGTCCTTGGTAGAAGGTGTCCCATGAATCATCCTTAAGGCACTCGGTGTCGGTCACTGTGCTGACAGCTCTTAGCACCACTCCTGGAGAAAGCTGTTCCACTGCGTGTTGCTGCCTGTCTGTGCTGTAAAGTCCACAAAGACTCCTGTGTCTTAGCCACCTGAACTTGCAGTTAAGTGAAGCGAACTGCTTTGCTTTCAGAGTGGAACTAGTTTTGAAAACTCACAGGGATGGAGGAAATACTGATGCCACATGTAGTTGGTGAAGAATAGATTTGCAGAGGCAAAAATAAGATGAATATTTGTCCTCCGACTTATTAACAAAAATGACTAGAGTAAATAGTTTTGCAGTCCTGTAGCTAATTTACTTCTGTGACCAGTGTGCTTAGTATCTTTGGTGTGTTTTGTTTCTTTATTATGAGATTGAAAAGAGCATTTGGGCCTGATACGGTATCCTGGTAGCTAAATCCCTTGCCTTGTGTAAACTGGGATACCGTATGGGCACCAGTTCTTCTTCTTCTTTTTTTATTTTATTTTATTTTATTTTTAAATTATTATCACTTTATGATATAGTTCCATTGGCCTTGGAATTTCTCTTACCCCTAGCCCGTGTCCCCCCTTCCCCACTGAGTTCCCCTACATTATTACTATAGTATAGTTCTTCATACACAGTCATATGTCCATCATTGCGGGCATGGACAATGGCTGAGAGTCCAGCATCCTCTTGTCAAGATATATCCAACAGTGTCATTGGGAATCCATATTTGATCTAGAAGTAGAGATGCTTACTGCATTGTATCCTTACATCTGGATAAGGTGCCAGCTGTAATCCTGGCTGCTACACTGCCCACCCAGCTCCATGCCTGTGGCCTGGGAAAGCAGTCTGGGACAGCCCAAAACCTTGGAACCCTGCACCTGCTTGTGAGACCCGGAAGAAGTTCCTGGCTCCTGGCTTCAGCTCAGTTCATCCCTGGCCATTGCAGCCATTTGGGCAATGAATCGGTGGATGCAAGGGTTTCCTCTCTTCTCTGCTTCTCTCTGCATATCTGCTTCTCCAGTAAAAATAAATAATTTTTTTTTTTAAAAAAAGAGCACTTGCTTAGTTTTAGCTATAAAATAACCAGTTTGAATTTATTTTATTTTTAAAGATGTATGTATATATGTATTTGCTTGAAAGGATGACAGGGAGAGTAAGGGAAGGAGATGTTGTTCATCTGCTGGCTCCCTCAACCGCCAGTGCGGGGCCAGGAGCAACCACGGAGCCTGGAGCTCCTCCCTAGTCTCTCACGGGTCCCCGGGCTTGGGCCGTCTCTGGCTGCTCTGCCAGGTCTGTTAACAGGAGGCTGGAGTGAGAGAAGGTCAGCCTGGGCAGTCTGCTGTGGGCAGCAGGTCAACTCACTGCTTTTCACTGGCTCCATTTTGAAGTTAAAGCATCCTTAGACTGCGACGTGTTTGTCTTTTTAAAAGTATGTCTATTTTATTGAAGTATTTGCACATGCGTGAGTTACAGCAGCATTCAATCCATGCATGCATGCAATTGTCCTGATCAAATCGACACTTCCCCTCGTTTGACATTACTTTATGACTGTAACCTTATTGCTGTCTTCTATTTGCTCATAAAATAGAGGATTGGTTATTGTGACGGGGCTT